AGATTGGTGAATTGCTGTTGCAGCAAACATTTTCCTTCAAGTAGCCCCATTAACTTGATTATTCCATTTATGATAAATCGATCAATCAGTTCGAAGATATTGAGCTCACTCAGAGTTCCAATAAGACAGTGCCAGCTTCCCTACCTCAGAGAGGACCATGGAGAACTTTCAGTCGTTCTTTGAAGACAGAATCATATCGAAGACCAATAGCCACCAAGACCTCCTAATTTCACACCACCCTATTACGTACTTTATTTTGGGGATACTGTTAACTGAAACAACACTCACCATTCCACAGCTAAAGGAGAACATAAAAAACTGCATTTAGGAAATTCCTGTTGAGGTACCACGCCGTACTTTTGAAAACTCGCAGCATCATGTTCAATTGTGCATAGAAAACGAGAGGATTAATACCAGCATCTGCTGCAATAAAAATGAGTCGTGCATGGTTGGATCTGTGTTCATGCCAAATTTCAAATTTCAACATTACTATGTAGGAAGTTATGCCATTTTTTGTGGGTTGCACTAATAAAAAAAAAACTGTATTTCGAAGGGGTTCATACTGAAACTTAACTTCTGTACGTAGTTGCTAGTATGAAGGCCGGTCCTGTAACTTTTTGATAGGCCCACGTATGTTACACGTGAATCACGCAACTGCTTATTGCGCAACTTATTGCCGAGTTCATAAAAAAAATTGCATGCTTGCGTATTTGCATGCATTCTCCTTGTTCTTTCACGAAATAAGTAAATGGAGTTTCAAGGCGGACGCATTTCAAACAAAATATTCCCATTCTACTCTCGTGTAGCCAGTCGTTCATGAAAACTTGCCACGACATTGAGAAACAACTGCTTACCCTAGTAGCACCAAAGTAGTGAGCCATAGGCGGCCCAAGCACTACACTGGGCTATTTCTGCTGGGGGAGGGAACGTAGCGACAAGTGGGACATGCAGCTGCTGGCCGGCTACCTATTGTATGTAGGGGCCACCAGCTCTCTTCCCATAATGTAACTGACACTTTCCCGTATGCAGTACCAGGAATCCCCACTAGATGGTACCCCCGTTCACTGTATCCTATAAATGTTATTAAATACCTGCCTTCCTGATTTAGCAAAAGTGTTTCTTCCTCGTTTTTCCTCTTTTGAATGTGTAATTTATAAACAGATACTAGGAAAGCGTGGAATTATTATGTTTTATTATAATATAAAAGTCGGAGAATTATTAAGTGCTGAGGTAAAATATGGGAATTCAGAAGTGTACAGGACTAGGGGAAAGGAGAGGAAAACCTTATTTCATTGTATTATTATTTATTTTGACAAAAATGTGACCCTGTACTCGTAATCTTTTGCCCACCCCTCAGAGTTCCACATTGAACGCGGAAGGGGTGAGAACTGGATCATCTTGGTACTCTTGAGCACTCTTCTGAGCATGCTCCAGAGCCAAGTCTCAGAGATGAATCGGATATACATGGAGGCATTACAACCCTTCCCAGTTGGTGATACACCACAAAAGAGATAACTGGTAATGTGCTGGTTCTCTAGCGGCCCGGAAGATGGCGGCTGACAAGTGGGACATATACCTGGTGGCCCACCACCTACGTGCTACTTGGGTAGGAGCATGCCAATGGCAATATCATGGCTTTTCTCGAAACTGGCAGCATCGATTTCTATTTTGTGATCTTTGGATCGAGTTCAACATTATTAAATCGACTCCGACCTTTCTGAGGCAGGCTGGCAAACTCCAAATCATCATCTTCATCCAATTATCTTTTAGTTAATTAAAAGCCTGTAGGAATCGAGTAAAAAAAAAATACCGAGTTCAACGGAAAATGGCGTAGGTTTTTACAAAATCTCCACGATTCTTCCCAGGGACAAACGAGGACAAGAGAAAACCGAGAGAAATTTCTGATTATCTCCCTCATCCATACAGGCTGCCACGATAGGAAGCTTTCGCAATTTCTGATCGGTTCTCATTGCATGCCTGGTAGAAAGAGTCACACCAACCAGACAGGTTGTATATGGGTGCCACTTCCGACGACTGACTTCTTGTCCAATGCGTCTCCAACGGAAAGTGGGATCGTGCATCAGCGTAGCGTGGGTGAAAAAAGTGGGGAGAGGGAGGGACACAGGAACTGCGAGATACTGTCATTCGTTTCGTGGGTCTTTTCCTTATTTTTTTGGCTTCTTATATTTAAAAGGACACGTTCCCCTGGCCTCCCCGCCCTCCCTCACGCTACGCTGCTGGGATCGTGTGCCACAGTCTTCAGGGTTTTCTCCAATCAGGTATTGGCACCTTGATATTCCTCTTCCTTTCCTCAGTCTGCTTAGTATTGTCTGATGTGCTACTCGATCGCAATGCAATGGCTCTCCAGGAATCTGTGGTTACCGTTAGTATGCTATTAGAAGTTAGCATTATTTCGACAAAATTGTTCCATCCCATATAAAATGTTACCCACTCGTTCACCTATATTTAACCGCTTTTTCACCTAATCTTAACCTGAAGGGTCTTCTGTCAGGTTGAGAGAGGGGAGAAGAGGGGAATCCCCGATTTTAATATCAGGGGAAAGGACTCCACCCCAAGCAGGGTCTGGTAAAGAGATAAGATAAGGTGAAATTCTGGTTAGCCCAGGAGAAAGTTTCCCCTCACACCTTCCCGTTTGTCTTTATCTTTGTGAGACTGTGCAGCAAGAAACCCCACGAAGACCTACAGTTGAGTCATTCAGTAGGTACTACGATATTTTGTTGAGGAATATTTGGTCGCCGACGTTTCGTTGCCGACTATTGGTCGCAAGTATGATCAGTTGCGAGAAACATTCGTTGTGTGTTGTATTCTTCGGCGTTCAGGCGATTCTGAGCTTGTCGGGTCAAACGCAGAACCCTATCATGCATCATGCAAGGCTTGTATAGGTGTGATCACCAACATCAATAGCATTAACGAAAACTGTTCGATCCGGTGGAGCCACCCGCACAATTATTTTTTTTAAAGAAACTTAAAACCAGCCCGCCTTTGGAAGACTAGTCTTCTCATCCACGCCTTCTAGGCGCTCGTATTTTAAGAATGATTCAACGTCCCCAATGATGTTGGCTTTACGCATCCATTCACGTGTACGAAAATAATGCATTGAAAGACAACTTGGTAATCGGCGAGAGAAGTAGGCATAAGTTTAAAATAGCCGTGGTCATGAACACTGTATTATGCCTACACTGTCACTTCAGCCTTCGAAATGCACGCTGTTTCGATTGTAGTAATCGAAAAAAGTACCTGAAGGCCAGCACCTATATAAACTATTAGTGTTTCCATACTACCTGCGTCCCAAAAGGTTAAGGACAGCTTTCACAAACGACAAGATCGCTATATTGGCAGATCGACGAGTGAGGGCTGCGACAAGTTAGGCTGGCAACGAGTTAGACCTGCGACGAATTAGGTTCACTACGACTTGTCGGTGTAGAATCGTCGGCGACGAAACAGGCTGCGACGAATTGACGGGTCACGATTCAGCACACTAAGCCATAATCGCAGGGAAGGAGAAAAGCTCATCTTCCTCCTCTTCAGTTCACTTCTCAGTTTCACCGTCCCAATTCACCTCAGTAAAAAATTTTGTAAAGGATATTTTGATGAAATGAAGAAAACATTATTGTTGCTCAAAGCGTGTGATAATCTTTTTTGTCTATTGCATCCCAGCGGCGTAGCGTCGGAAGGGGCTTGGTGGACGGGCACATTCCCATTCTCCCCCCCTCCCCACTTTCCAAGATATGGAGCAAAAAAAAGACGGAAAAGCCCCATAACTGCATAACAGCCCCAGAGTTCCCGTGCCATCCGACTCTGTCCTGCACCTACTCCCCCCCTCCGCCACATTTTCCATCCACGCTACGCTTATGTTGCACATACTTGGAAACAAAATTGCTCAGTCCATGCAATGAACACAATAGTTGCTTATTTAATGAAATAGGCAAAAACGTTGGTCAATGCGCGCAACGAGCAGTAGCACGAATCGCAAGTATTATATCCAACATTCCGAAATGTGACTGAAGAAACAAATCTGGCGCCTGTACATACGAGAAAGTGGACATCAGGTCCTTGTGTGACATGAAGCTCATGGGATGAAATGCGGATTATTTTTAGACAGCACCTTTTACATATTATTTGAAGTAAATGTAATATTTTGTAAATTAAACTAGAAAATTTAGTTAATAGTCAATTTTAAAATCTCAGAATATTGTTCATTTTTCGGGAAACTCCCTTACAAGGATGAGATATAAAAGAGAGATGCGACACTTTTAACCAGAATAATTTTCGGCAAAAGAATAGAAACGTTTGGGAAACAAATTTGCAATAGAAGCAGAATTTTTAATTTAAAAATAATAAAAATTACGCTTGCATTTTTACTCAGGAAAGTCAGCGACTACGATGGTTTATCATGGCTAAAAGCAGGCAAGATGTGAGATTGCTTTTCTCAGCGAGGAGGAAAAGTTCAGAGTAGATTTGAATTCTTGCACCCTTACATCAGAATCTCGAGTAAAATGTGTATTATTCTCACGGGGTTGAAGCAATCCCTATATTTTGAAGTGCATCTGGCACCAAGAGGCAAATCCCAAATTTTATCGATGACTCACAGCCTACAATGAATTGCTTGTCAGATTAAGCCTTCTCTGCTTCATTCTCAAGATGTTTTACCTTTAAGAAAATAGACAGGAACCAGAACAAAGCCTGATTTGATTTTTCCCCCATGGGAATGAGGGTTATCATAGAAAATGAGTGGAGAGTCTTTTTTAAAATACCCTTTATATGATGAGCCCTGGTAATCGTAAACTTCTGCTCGACCCGAGTTTCATATTGGACGCGGAAGAGGAGTGCAGTGGTTTATCTTGGTACACTTGAGTACTCTTCTGAGTAGTGCTCCAGAGGCAAGAATTAGAAGTGAATCGGATATACATGGAGGCAATTGGACCCTTCCCAGTTGGTGGTACACAAAAGAGATAACTGATAATGAGCTGGCCCTCTAGCGGCCGGAAGGTGGCGGACCAGTGCCGGCAAGTGGGACATGTACCTGGTGGCCCACAACCTAGTGAAGCTGGTGGGCCACCAGCTCTCCTCCCAAAATGTAGGTGATGGTAGGTGGTGATTCTAACCCAACTGACCCATCATCCTCCAAAATAGGTTGATTTTCTCTTTCGGCCAATATAATAGGAACGCGGCTCACTTGGTATGTGTCTACAGTTCGTTCACTAGAGTGCGCCTGGTTTTAGTGAAAAACCAAAAAAGCTGATGGAACGTTAGTCTGAGTCTCTAGCTTCGAAGTGATTACATTATTCAGTGGGTGAAGACGGAGGCAGCGATGGCGTTTACTGTTAAACGAAAACGGGCGTTCTCGGCCTCCATTCAACATGGCTGCCCCTATGTGCCGTATTTTCCATGGAGAATAATGTAAATGCTTGAAGGCCTTAAACATTGCTATTGCTTTTTCAATCCAAGCGCCTTCATATCTCATGCTTTAATGGCCTAAGGCAGTGATGCTCAACCCATGGCGACCTTTTTTGCGGCCTCTTGGATGCCATGGTCTCTAAATATCTATATTTAAATGCGGCTTATTTTGGCTCGTATTCAAGGACCGCTGGCTCTCGAACCCCTCGAACATGAGCCCAAGTCTCAATTTGGCCCTGTAGGGGGAAAGGTTATGCACCTCTGGCTTAAGGGAATCCTTCAAGACCCATCCCAGGTAGCTCCGCAAGAATCAGCTCCGCAAGAATCTGAGTGTGGGGAGTAATAGTAAAGGTGTCTCAAAGGTATGCTTGCAATCATTTTTAGGAGAAAATAAGAGAAAGGAACCTATAAGAATTTTGTTTGATGAATTATCCATCACCGTTGATGCGAGTATTTTATTGTGTATCTTTCATCTTTCCATTTTAACCCTTTCACTGGCAGGCAGAAATGTAAATCTCCAACCTCTGGGAGGCATTGGCAACTCTTGGTTGTCAGATACCAATGCCAGTGAAAAGGTTAATCTGTCTCTATGAAAGCTTAGGGTTGCCATTTTCTATAGTGTCTAATCATTGTCCCCCTGTTTAGACTGATGATCATGTTCCTTGTGTAAATGACAATGACAGAAGCATTCTTATTGTTTTGATATTCAGTGGACAGGTCTATAATTGGATGCACTATGGAAATGGCAAGATTTTTGCTGACTTACTCCCGTCATACATTGAGCTCCAGGTGTGGCTCTTTATTGGGGTTTGTCCCACAAGCTGCATCCAGAACTCTTTATCATAAACAACTGACACTCCTCACAGTTCCGTCCAGATGTACCCCTGCCTCTGTAACATTCAGTTCTGCAGCAGACTCTGGTAAGAAGGTGAATGTCTGATGAGTAGATCCTAGAGCATATTTGGAAAATTATGGCATGTACTGTGAGTCTCAAAATGGAATTATTTTCTATAGGATCCTTTCAATTTATCAAATATGAGAAGAATGGCAGCATAGGTGTTATCACTCTGAACCGGGAAAAGGCTCTCAATGCCCTTTGTGATGGTCTTATGAAAGAGGTGGCGATGGCTCTAGATGATCTTGAACGTGATTCTGCAATTGGTGCCATTATATTGACAGGAAGTGGAAAGGCTTTTGCTGCAGGTAAGAGCAATGTTTATATTTGAAATTAAGTTTTTTTTTCTTGTCAGGAAATGATGTCCTATTGGATTTAAAAATAGGAGCTGACATAAAGGAGATGCAGAACCAGGAGTTTTCAAATGTCTTTGGAGGTAATTTCTTGAATCATTGGACACGTATTTCAGATTGCAAGAAACCAGTTATAGCTGCTGTCAATGGATATGCTGTGAGAATTCTTTTCCCTTTGAATTCATTTGTGTAGGGTTCATGCTGCATGAATGAGTTTAGAATTTTCTTTAAAAATTCACTCTGAGGTCATTCAGATGTCTATTTGAACCCATCTATATAGCTTGGTGGAGGCTGTGAGATGGCGATGATGTGTGACATCATCTATGCAGGAGAAAAGGCCAAGTTTGGGCAGCCAGAGATAGCAATAGGAACCATTCCTGGTGCTGGTGGGTCACAGAGACTCACACGTGTGGCTGGGAAGTCTAAAGCAATGGAAATGGTCCTTACTGGGGAGATGATTTCTGCTCATGAAGCTGAGAAAATGGGTCAGTACCTCTTCTCCAATATCTCACTGCTATGCATTTGTTGATGCATGAAGAATAGAAAAAACCAGGAAGAGATGAGTTTATTCCCTCCCATTGTAGTGATGACAAGTTATGTATCTTTCTCAGGCTCTACTCTGCAATGGACTGTTTAGAGAAAAACACCTAAGACCAATGGGTTCACTGACTCTACACAGGAGCCTGGACCATTATGGGAGCAATCATAGTGCATGTGTTGGCAGACTAGGCCTAATAACTTGATGAGCATATTTTTGTGACCTAGATTGGGTCCTGAATCCATGAGATGATGTTGACAGACACTCTCACTTGTTTCTGACAAATTAACTACACTGCTTTTTCTGAACCTTTGCACAAAATTAGCACTTGTACCGTTTTCTTAAAACTCCATTGCAAGAAAATTAGTCATGGGAAGGCATCCATACCCTGACCAAATTGACAGTGGCTGACTGAATGTAAGAAAGTTCAGGGATATAGATATCCCATCAAGACTGGAAGGCTGGGAAATTTTCCTTATATAGTTTCATAAATATGCCACCTAACATGTTGCTAACTCATATTGAGACATTCAAAACTTTTTAAGTTGATTGGCATTTTAGATTTTGAAAAATTAATTCAAGTTAAATTAATTAAATTTATTTTAACTCAGACAATTTTTAAGTTTATTAGTAAAAAAAAGTAGAATAAATTTGTATACTTTTATTTATAATTAGATTTAAATTCATTTTCAGTATTTTGATACTTCCTGAGGGAAATAAGGCAGGAAAGATTTAATCCTTTGGCTGTTTGCCCAAGTATGTACTTGGGCTCATGTAGTGGCAGCATAGGTATGTTCTCAGGCTCAGAACATTCACTGTTTCTAGGTTATTTTACAGTTATTTATTAATCATTCTGCTATTTTCAATAGTTATCTTGATATGACATTTTCTTTCATAAAAATTTGCATTTTTAGACAAGCAGGTCCAATTTTTATTTGAAAACATATCAGCAATCCCCGTGTTATAACAGTCGAAGGGTTAATGATGTGACTTGTAGCTGTCATAGAAGGCAACAGGTGTTTTTAATATTATGGAATATGATGGTTTTGAGTGAGGAATGAATTGTCTGCTTGAATGCATTCCATCAAGCATAGGAATCCTCCACTGTTTGTAATGGAGGTACCCACAATTTCCCAGACTTTCCCCCCTCCTCCTTGATTTTAATCCAAAGCCATGAACTCAGAAGCTACAATACTTTCACCCTTCAAGTGCTTAGTTTTGACCTGATCTCCTTAGTGACAATCATACAGTGTACATAAAACTGCTTGAAGGGCTAATGCAGGTGAATGCAGGTTCATCATAGGGAAAAAANTAGAGAAAAACACCTAAGACCAATGGGTTCACTGACTCTACACAGGAGCCTGGACCATTATGGGAGCAATCATAGTGCATGTGTTGGCAGACTAGGCCTAATAACTTGATGAGCATATTTTTGTGACCTAGATTGGGTCCTGAATCCATGAGATGATGTTGACAGACACTCTCACTTGTTTCTGACAAATTAACTACACTGCTTTTTCTGAACCTTTGCACAAAATTAGCACTTGTACCGTTTTCTTAAAACTCCATTGCAAGAAAATTAGTCATGGGAAGGCATCCATACCCTGACCAAATTGACAGTGGCTGACTGAATGTAAGAAAGTTCAGGGATATAGATATCCCATCAAGACTGGAAGGCTGGGAAATTTTCCTTATATAGTTTCATAAATATGCCACCTAACATGTTGCTAACTCATATTGAGACATTCAAAACTTTTTAAGTTGATTGGCATTTTAGATTTTGAAAAATTAATTCAAGTTAAATTAATTAAATTTATTTTAACTCAGACAATTTTTAAGTTTATTAGTAAAAAAAAGTAGAATAAATTTGTATACTTTTATTTATAATTAGATTTAAATTCATTTTCAGTATTTTGATACTTCCTGAGGGAAATAAGGCAGGAAAGATTTAATCCTTTGGCTGTTTGCCCAAGTATGTACTTGGGCTCATGTAGTGGCAGCATAGGTATGTTCTCAGGCTCAGAACATTCACTGTTTCTAGGTTATTTTACAGTTATTTATTAATCATTCTGCTATTTTCAATAGTTATCTTGATATGACATTTTCTTTCATAAAAATTTGCATTTTTAGACAAGCAGGTCCAATTTTTATTTGAAAACATATCAGCAATCCCCGTGTTATAACAGTCGAAGGGTTAATGATGTGACTTGTAGCTGTCATAGAAGGCAACAGGTGTTTTTAATATTATGGAATATGATGGTTTTGAGTGAGGAATGAATTGTCTGCTTGAATGCATTCCATCAAGCATAGGAATCCTCCACTGTTTGTAATGGAGGTACCCACAATTTCCCAGACTTTCCCCCCTCCTCCTTGATTTTAATCCAAAGCCATGAACTCAGAAGCTACAATACTTTCACCCTTCAAGTGCTTAGTTTTGACCTGATCTCCTTAGTGACAATCATACAGTGTACATAAAACTGCTTGAAGGGCTAATGCAGGTGAATGCAGGTTCATCATAGGGAAAAAAATACACCATACCCTCCTTTCATGGCTGAGAGAATGATCAAAACTATTTCAAATCATAATGTCATAGGCCTTTCCAAAACAATACTATAAGGAAGGTAAAGTACCGTATTTACTCCAGTATAGTGCGCCATCGTGTTTAAGACGCACCCCCGCTTTTGAGGTCCCAATTTGTGTAAAAAAAAGATTCCCCGCGTATAAGGCGCACCCCCCTATTTTGTAGCGAAAAGTGTCGGACAAGGGAGATGAATAAGGGGTAAAGCCTGTATACCGTATTTACTCCAGTATAGTGCGCCACCGTGTATAAGACGCACCCCCGCTTTTGAGGTCCCAATTTGTGTAAAAAAAAGATTCCCCGCGTATAAGGCGCACCCCCCTATTTTGTAGCGAAAAGTGTCGGACAAGGGAGATGAATAAGGGGTAAAGCCTGTCTTGAGGTAGGTCGAACCTCGTTTCTTATTCACTGTCCTGACCTTTATCGAGGGGGGGGGCACAGTATCCCTAACGTTTGTTTTAATATCCGTGAAAACGGATGGAAATATACGGCGAAATAACACAGCTGCAGAGAAATCCATGTGATTCAGGAAGCGAAGGAGCTGGGCATCCGTGCAATAGGTCATAAGTATGACATCGAGGAAAGTTGTATACAGAAGCGGATGGAGGCGAAGGCGAAATTAAGCCTGGCTCTAAAGAATCTCATGGCCTTTCGTGGGGAAAAAGGAATAATTTCCGGTAATCAAGAAGGGAGTGACCGAGAGTGATGGAGACGCGAACCCATACGATTTCGAGAGCAAACGGGATCTCCCATCGAAAATTCAATGCATCATGAGGTTGAACGACGCGATTCATAAGCAAGTTGGATTTTCTGTTCGTCGGAAAACGCAGCTTTCCATGAGAAATTATTGTCTCTGGAACGGCCCCTCGGAGGAGGATGTGAGCTCCGCGAATCAATTTTCCACGCCGCCAGACACCTCAGATGCCGATTCCGATACTGAATGAAGTCCGCGAATCGACGTGGCCACTCCCTGTTTACCGTTTTATAATTATTATATTTCTCCTGTTCTGACTGACTGCAGACAGTTTCCGCCTCAAATTAGTGATCAATGAGTTATAGATACGCTGAAAATTTTTTCTCGAAAAAGATAATTTTTTTCTCGAGTATAAGACGCACCCCCTCATCGAACACAATAAAATATGCAAAAAAAAATGCGCCTTATACACGAGTAAATACGGTAACCACATAGTTTGAACTTTAGTGCCCATTGCTCTAATGTGGAGAAGATATGCTAAGTGCAGAGAAAAAAAAAACTGGGCTGTTAGAACTTTTATATCTGGAATTTGGTTATCAATACCAATTTGCATGCACCAGGATATTGGGACCTATTTTTTATCTTCTGTGGACTATTTTTTCAGAATTTTCCCCTGCTAGTTCAACCACAAAAGCACTTGAATTTTGTAAGTATTTTTTTTTTTTTTAAGTCCTTGCCTGATGTTAGTCTTTCAATAAAGAGGGAAACCTCCAAGCTTGTTAGCTTTTATGTCAAATTGCCTACCTCATAATGGTTATGGTGTTGTCTGAGGCAAACAGCGCATTGGTTGAGGTATGTTCTCTTCTCAAGGGATGGAGAGTTGTTATACTGTGAAGGATATCCTGAATAGAGAGCAGATAAAGGACTCTGAATTGTTACATCTTGAAAAATTGTGCCACAGGTTAAATGGAATGAAAGTGAAGAGGCAGGAGACCCAAACCTACTGTCACCTAAGACAGTCTGGCATATGTTGAAGGACATATGTTTTCACAAGATTGGCTTGGCACTCCATTTCCATTTCCATTTGTCTAATAACCAGAGTCCTCTCAGATAGTGCAAGATGAGTGGCAAAAATGGTCTAACATTGGGGCTTGACACTGTTAGAGACTTTGCTCCCAGTTTCAGTAGAACTACCATTCAGAAAAGAAGATGGAGAAGTCAGTTTTAATGGCAACATTTCTGAGTCAGAAGAATGATCTTCACTGATAATTGGTACCTTAAGAGTAAAATCCTTCTTAACACCCAGACTCAATTGGGTGTGTGAAAAGGGGAGCAAGGAATGTGGGTGCAGATATGCTTTGCAAGGATTTTTCTAGTTCTCCCAAGAGGTCATGATTAGTGTTGGAGTCAGTTGGATTTCATGAAAGTCACTGCTCAGAACTGTCATCCAGGAGAAAGAAGGGCCTATCTTGCTTAAATTTCTGTGAGGACTTGGACTTGTGGGGATTTCCTTGCTTCAGAGTGCTTATTAACTTCAAAGTGCTTCTGTGACTCAACCACCAGAGGAAAAATTCTCAAGAAAATTTACATTAGCAAAAGTTTAAATGCACACTTGTTGGAGCATACATAGCTGTTGTTATGACTAATTTTCAGATGTAAATATTCAAACAGCACTGCATTTTTCACCACACCTGTCATTACTTCATGAGGTTCTCTTGCTTGGAACATATGCCTGTTAGAGTAAGTGTTTTTGCATTTCTTTGGATATCATATTTTCAGTCTTACAGATCCAGGTTCACCTTTGTCCTTCCCATCTGCATGTCTACTTATCCTGATATGGTTGCTTTTCTGCACTCTACAACAGAGGGAAATTTTCTCTCAAAATGAAAGCTCTCAAAATGTGCCTGGTTGGCAACTTTCTCATAACATCTCTCCTCAAACTGCCTCCTTCACTTCATATGGCTCATGAAGTTGCTGTTTTTGATTCTGCCTATTGCATATGTTAGATTCAAGCCCTTTCTTGAATTCTGAGTCATACTTAGATGTAAACATTTTGACTGGAGGGTTTTTTCTCCTGCAGGGATTGTGAGCAAAGTATTTCCAACTGAAGAGCTACTGCCAGCTGCTTTGAAATTGGCTGAGAAAATTGCATCTCATTCAAAGATTGTCACTCAAATGTGTAAGGAAGCAGTAAATGCTGGTAAGTGTAACTTCCATGTTTTATCAAACTGATTTGGTCTGATCCTTGCCTCAAACAAAAGCATCTGAATGACACAAGACCTTTTCTTTTGACTTCGAAGCATATGAAACAACTTTGAGAGAGGGTCTTCATATTGAGCGGAGGCTTTTCCATGCCACTTTTGCAACAGTAAGTTCTGATTATAATTCCATGTGTTCCTCCCAGATTTTCATATTCACCCCATTTCTTGCCAGGAGGATCCAAGTTTTGGTCTCTGCAGTATCTTCAGAAAAGTATTCTATGCATGATAGGCTTTGGACGAGCCTTTTTTTTTAATAACATGTGACCATTAACAATTTTGCTCTGGAGGGTGACAGTAGTTTTTTGAAGTCTGCAAAATAATTGTAGAACTTCAGAATGCAAAATGTTGGAAACTTCTTCTCTTTTAGAAATTGAAGTATAATGTCTCTATTTTATTGTGGGAAATTGCAAAGAAAGTTGAAAAAAATTTTCAAAGGATGTCCACCATTGTCTGATGCTAGTTTCGACTGGATGTAGCAATACATTTACATCCATCTGATCAAAAGTGTTAAAAGTGTGATGTGGTTCCTTACTTCAAAACTAGTAAAAATTTCACATAATCACATTCTAATCTGCCATGTGACATAACACTTTGTCATTTTGCTGTTACCAATTGGATTAGTATATGTAGCATATTTTTGTCTTGAAATGCAGAGGGACCGTAAGGAAGGGATGTCTGCATTTATCGAGAAGAGGTCTCCAAAATTCACAGACTCATAAATCAATCAACAGCTGGTTCTCATGCCTGTCTTCAATGCAGGGTGTCCTTCCTTGTAAGTTTTTCATACTACAGCTCCTCGCAAAAAGCATGCATTTCATGGGTGTTATACATTTGGACATAAAGAGTGTTATAATTTTGTCATAAAGGGTGTTATACATTTTGTCATAAAGGACATTTTGTCTGTCCCAAGGAGAGACTCCAACTCAGACAATGCCTTCATGTAGTCTGCTAGTCTCAGATCATTGCTCTGTGCAATATGAACTTCATGTTCCATTCTCAATCGCTCTGTTATAAATAATAAACTGATACTGAAATAAACCACTTTTCTAGTGTCACTGTCTTGGTTTGTTTGCTTTTTTTCTAAAAGGTTGAATGAAAACTTCAAGGGATGCAAATAGTTCATGTGATAGATAACTAAACTGGGTTTTGTCATGAGCATGTCAGGATCCAGTCTTTCATTCCTTTGGAGATTTTTGAATGATGCACCACTAATGCAATGCTTCCGTTCCACTACCATTAGGCAATGCAAAATGAAACTTCATGGACATCTTGTTTTATCTTATCCTGTTAGCTATACAGAGCCCTGTCATAATAATTTGGCCACTTCCGTAAATGAATTTATATGAACTAACTATTGGATTTCACATATGATTATAAATATGACATCAAAGTTGTATGTGGGCATCACTGTCCAGCTGACGACAGTGTTGGCTCAAAGACATTGACATCAGGTGATGGATCTGTTGGTGTGTTGTTGAGCAGAACATGGAACTCGATGATGACTTAAATGTGATGTTTCAAGAATGATTCTTGGACAACAGAGGCATTCATAGGGACTGTATGCAATATCCGGCAGTGAGTGTAAATCTGGATAAATTTATACCAAACTTTGCACAGGGAATGCTATTAGATACAACCAGTGCTCACCGAAATTTAATAAAGATTCATTGAGTGTAACTCATTTTAAAAATCAATACAGAGAACTTTTCAGACAACTCACGTACATCGTTTTAAAGCTTATTGATTCCTCATTCAAATGCTGCACTCAGCATTAAAATATATGCAGGTTAGTGCAGTATAGTGTATTGTTGAAAACTTTTTTTTGGCCCACCCTGTATATGCCACACTTCTAATGTGACCATAGCCTAGAAGAGGAATCAAAGCATTCAACTTCTTTCCTGGGTACCTCAAGGCCCAAATATGAATCCTATCAAGCACCTGTGGGAGCATATGGATTCTCAGCTGATAGTAACCCATTCTATTCCCACCAATATCATGAAATTAGAGGAAACTCTCACATGAATATGGGGAACCTAGACCACATTTTGATATGAAATCTCATTGATTCAGTGCCAAACAGTGTTAATGCTCTTTGTGCTACAAAATGTGGTTCAACCAAGTGCTAAAATATAGATTCATACTGTATTGCTTGCCTTTGTCTTTTTTCTGCACAAAACTAACATTTTAATTACAACAGATAACCAAATTATTCAATACTATGGCAGAGCTCTGTATTTTTTGGATGAGTTGTGTGCAGGTTGTTTATTCATCAAATGACCAGGAGGATACCTCACCATGGGCATCCTTCCCATTCACTACCAAACCCGCATCTGCTGCAACATCCTTCTGTTTGTTTTTCTTGCCTTCTAAATTCATTCCACTTTTTCTTAGCTAGTTCATCAGAGCTGAGAGTAATACGGAATAGGTGCCATTAGAGTGCTAACACAATTTGGTTAGTTTAACCCCAGGAGATTAGTGATTAAAATTACTGTACAATTGTTGACTTTGTGACAGTAAGGATATGTGTGAGGTTGCCACCTCCATACTTTGCATGACATAGGGAGAAAATCAATTCACCCAGATTAGAACTAAAAAATTTGTGAACAATGCTTTGCATGACTGAATGGGCAACAAATAACAAAAATTGAAATTTGTAATAGCAATCAACACTGACTCAAAACCAGCTGCAGCATACACTTCGCTTCTCTTCAACTATTTGTGAATGTGATAAAGAGAAACTTACGCTAACTCCCTTGTTATTCAATCTATATAAAATGTTAATCTTCCACTTAATCAATTTGTTTCCAATTGTTGACTTATTGATTAAAAATCAAATTTGCTATTTGTGCTCTTGCCAATGAACTTGCCCATAATAAAGAGAGACAAAAAAAGCCAAAGCAATCCAGAAAATATGGTAGTCTCTGCTCTTTGCTAGGACAATGCTAGATGTTGAGTCATAGATAATTCATCATGTCAGAACGAACTCATTACTGCATGAAACTCGGCGCGCTTCTGCTTAGGTATTTCAGAAGACTCTGAAATGCACTATACAGAGGAACATCAGATGTGTCTAGAAATCCCATTAGGGTTTATAGTTGGACTTTGGAAAAAGGAAAACTAGACTTGAATCTTTAAAATTGACCCTGAGATTTCCCATAGGCAGAACCATCTCTCGGAAACGCTGGAAGATTTTTAGTATTTTTTATGCTAGCCTGCAGTAACGTGAGGGGTTTTCCCCAATATTTGATTCATGTCATGGACTTTTGGTACTCCATTTTGGTGGAGAGAACTGGGGAATATTCGTCTCGATGAAGGGTAGAATTTCAATGTATAACACTTGAATACATTGAATGTAAAATACCTTGCATCTCTGACTTGGACGGAGATGAATTGTCAATGCAACACCCCCGCTGAATAGCGTTCGTCGGAAATTCATGAGCATTTATAAATGTACGTAGTTTTGTGTTGGATTTAAAACCTTTCTCATTGTGAAAATTGACTCGAAGAAAAAGTGAGTCTGTTTCCTGAAGGGCGAGGGGCTCCGACAAGGCAGAGCACTAGAAGGATACCTGGGAAGACTAAGAATAGCCCATGAGAGTGAAGTTGTTTGAAGACATGATAAACAGAGGGGATCGGGATGGATGGATCACACATGTGCATATATGTACCCTTCCCTCCATCCGAGGTCTGTGAATTACACTTCGATTCCTGAAGAAATGGCGTGATTCTCCCTTTGATCATGTTCGAGGAGTCACGAATGATAGATTCTCTCCCCTCTCCCCTTGAAGTAAAGGAAAGAGTGCAATCCCAATACAGTAGTGGCCGTGGGGTTCATATTTTCGCCTCATCAAACAAAAGGGTCAAATTTTGGTTTGGATGGATTGTGACCATTACAATGCTTTTTTTCATTTAAAAAAAAATGAGGGGGGGAAGGGGGAAGGGAGAGGTATAGTGGAGGATGACGACTGAAGTGCCGATGAGAAAACAAGAAACTGGAACCCTCGGGAGTCCTTCCTCTTGCTCCAAACAATCATAGCCTTGAGAAGTTCCATGTGTTGACCTTAAAGTTCGCAAGGAAAAGTATGTAGTCCCTTTTTGTCATGAAATTCATCAAAACCAATCTCCGCCTGTGTTTTGCTCGCATGCGTCGGTACCGTAAGCTGACATACTCCGGTGACAAAGTCACCCACAAAGTAGCCCGAAGTTGCCCTTTGCCCACTGGGGTGTCTTCTGCCCAATTTCGTAATCGTCACTTGAAGCATATATCATTCAAATTTGACCAAGCTTTCTACATTTCCTTGAACAATTACTGGTTTCAAATTATATTAATGCAGTTATTTTCCAGTAATTCCAGAAAAACGGTGTCTGGAAAGTTCTACGCCCATCTCATCTTTATGGGATTTAAAACGTTTCTCTGAAAAAATATAAGGGTTGTTTCCTCGGCATTCATGTTATTGGAGCGTGTAATTAAAGAGTTCCCACATTCTAATTCAATAGCAGAAAAAAGGGCGTGAGACATGAAATAAGTTGGGCAAAGTCCTCAGGCAGATGAGGTTCGATTGTGTTGGCTTTGCTAGCTGAATTTAAATATAAGTCCTTGCCTTGGAAGTGAAGGAGAAATTTCTTGCTTAGCTTTGCTATAAATTTAACGATGTACCGGTACCATCTGCCTCAAAACTATCAACATAAAAAACATTTAACCAAGGGCAGACCTCTTCTTTCGGGAATGCTTCCCCGTTTGCTTGGCATAGACGTTGCCAAGTATGCCGAGGTGATTCAAAGGTAACTGGTGCACTTCCTCGAGTCCCCCTTCTCGAAAAGAGGAACCACCTCGCCGGTCTGCCAATCCATGGGCGCCGTCCCCGAATCCCATGCGACTCGACAATATGCAACCACGAACACCCATCATCACCATTGCTTTCGCTGGTCTACCCGGATTTAATCCACACCAGGAAACTTTCCATTCTTTAAGCTGGGAATAGCTCGTGGAACTTCCTCCACGGCGAGACTAGTCCTCACGCAGGTCGGCTTCAAGCAGGGTAAGTTGACATCCACCGAAGGTAGGTTTAACACATTGAGAACGGGAGACACTATTTTGTTTTCATGTAGGGTTTTCACGCCGTCTGATTCTTTCTGTGTACGATTCTGAGATGTGCTTGTATGGATTGTAGACATTCTGATGTTTCTTTTAATATCGTTTTTTACCGTCAGCTGTATTCCTATTGCTTTGTATTTATTTCTGAAAATCTACGTTATGTGTAGGGTACCGGTCCTCGATGTGTTAAGAGCAACTCAAAATTTTCCTTCTATCCTCGAAGATTCGGCACCCGAGACCTTACAGTTTCAGTATTTTGTGACTCGGAGGGTAGGTTGCTGCTTTTCTGGCGCCTTCAAACAGTTTGTCAGAACTTCCCCTTGTTGTGCAGTAGCCCTTTTCCATTCTTTCGCCGAATTTCTTCCTCGCCTCTTGTTTTCGCATGCACGTGGGTAGTTCAGGAGAAACCTGGATTTTCTGTGAGCAATGCATGTGGATCTCTGAAATTTTGATACAGATAGTGCTGAATGTAATTCAAAAGTCCTTTGTGGTGCCACTGACTGGCAACTTCACGTGTTGTATGAGTCTGCCTGTATCAGTGTAAAAATGACAGCGCCTTTTCGTGGGATTTATAGCAAAGGAGTATATGAAACCTGCTGAAATTCACTAGTCTTGCAGATAAATATGATGACACTACCCCATCATGGTGAAGTGTAATTGATTGGTGCCCACGACTTCATGAAGGGAGGCAGCAAGCCGGCGGCGCTGAGTATCCAAGCGCATCACCTTCGGTGGCGACCTGACCGAACATCACTCATGTGAAAGAGTGAATCACGGCAGTTCGTCGCGGAGAGATGCGAAAATCACAAAGCAGTTTTAGATAAACATAGGGAGAGCGGAAACAAAATTTCTTGAGTGCTTGAAATTCTGAAAAATATCGTTCCAATGGAGCTCAAGTTCCTGATCGTTCTTCAGATATGGTAACGCAAAACTTCCACATGAAGCCGAATAACCGATTCA